AGCAACACCGAGGGTTGCGATCCCGTTGCCGGTCCCGGTCCGGTACGGGCGCGACACTGAGAGTTGCAATCCGTTGCCGGACACAAAAAAAGACAAAAAAAAAAAAAAGAATATGTGATGGTTAGACCAGTATAGTTAGCTTATTCATCATTACAGTACACAATAGTTCTTTGTGTCCGTTGACCAATTCCTCATTAACCCCTGCCCTCTCTCCCTCCCCTCCCCTTTTCTTCCTCTAGTTTTCTAAAAGTTCAACATTACTGTGATTGTTGTTTCTTTCTTTCTTTCTCTCTGTCTCTCCTTTTTATTTATGGATTCAGCTCCCAGTAATGAGTGAGAAAATGCAGTATTTCTCTTTCTGTACCTGGGTTGTTTCACTTAGGATAATTTTCTCTGTATGTCTTTTATTTCCTTTTCTCATTGCACTGGCTAGAGCTTCTAACAGTGTATTGAATAAGAAACATAAGAGTGGAAATCCTTACCTTGTTTCCAATCTTAAAGGGCATACAATCATTTCTGGCACTAAGTACAATGTTAGCTGTTTATTTTTTGGATGGTTTCTCTCTTGTTTTCTGAAAGTTTTTATCATGAATGTGTGTTGAATTTTGCCATATGATTTTTGTGTGTGTGTGATTGATATACTGATATGATTTTTCTTTAGCCTGTTAATATAAATGTGTTACACTGATTTTTAAATATTGAACCAGTCTTGCATCCCTGGAATAAACCTCACTTCATACTTCATCAAGATGTATAATTCTTTTTACATACTGTTTAAATCTATTTGCTAATATTTATTTTGTTAAGGATTTTTGCATTATTTTTGTGAGGGGTATTGGTCTTTTCCTTCTTTTGGTACTGTCTTTGATTAGATTTGGTGTTAACCAATGTTCATTTTATAAAGTAGAGAATTTTTTCTTTTCTGTTTTTCTGGATAGGTGCTGTAAAATTGGTTTTCCTTTTTATAAAAATTTGGCAAAATTCTCCAATGAAACCATCTACGTCTGGAGATTTTATTTTGGGGGGAGTTTTTAAATTACAAATTTAAAATTTTTTTTTTTTTTTTTTTTTTTTTTTTTTTTTTTTTTTACCGGGAAGGGGATCACAACCTTTGGCCTGGTGTTGTCCCGCACCACGCTCAGCCAGTGAGCACACCAGCCACCCCCATACAGGATCCAAACCTGTGGCCTCGGCATTACCAGCGCTGCCCTATCCGAGTGAGCCACAGGGCCAGCCCCTTTAATATTTTTAATTGTTATAGGGCTATTTAAATTTGAATTTCATATTAAGCTGGTGTTTTTCAAGGAATTGGATTATTTCATCCAAGGTGTCAAATTTATGTGTGTAGAATTGTCTATTATATGCCCTTATCTCTTTGATGTCTGCACAGTCTATAGTGAAATCTTTTTCATACCTGATATTGATAATTTGC